TTCTTATATGAAACTTCCGCCGCCGGCTTGCCCGGGAACTACTTGTATTATATACCCTTTGTAATTTCTACATGACATCAAAAATACCTCCGAAATGTTCACAAGACTATGTGGGTCCCGATGTGAGTGGATGTTCCAATGATTTAGTGTGTTAACTCAAAGAAGCTACTAGTAGCTCCGGGCATTACTACTAGGAACAAGAAGCTACTAGGAACGAAGGGCATCGCTACTAGGAGCAAGGACGCTACGAACGTAGCTCCCTGGTCGTATGAACTTTCGCAAGATCTGTGCATCTCCGGGCGCCTCCTGGGCGATCTTCAGACCTTCACGTGCAGCCTCTTCCGCAGTCTCAGAGTTGCTACAGACCAGGCTGGCATTGGCCAAGGTGCGCAAAGCTCCCGCCTGCACCCGGAAGCGGAACCCGAGAGGTTCTGAACAACCTTGGAGAGAGTGCTTCTGTTTTTATTGTTTTTTCTGTTTTTTAAAGCCCCCCCCCATCCCTACTTAGTTGAGTAGGCGCCTACTTATATAATTAAGTAAGGGACTAGCCAGCTACTAAACTAGGAAAGCTTCTACATATGGACGCAGGATACTCACGCTTCTTCAAGGAGGCTGGGGGGAGCTTCCTTGAAGAAGCGCTCGCACTAATGATTTGGTTCCTAGATTGTAGGTGCAGTACCAATGGGCCACCTTTGGAAAGGTAGCCTTCAAGCCACGTCTGAAGAGACTGCACACAGAAAGGTGAAGCATGGTGTAACGAAACAGAAGAAGTTCAAACACAAAAGCCAATGCGTGTGTAATCATAGGGCAATATTATACAAATAGTTCATGATTGGTGCTGCGTGTGTTGATACTTACATTACCGCTGCCTGCAACGTCAATCACAAAATATATACGGCAGTCTCCAGCCAGTGTCTGGGTGCGCAGGATCAATTTATACGTTCCTGCACCTCTTCCAATCCACAGCTGTAACCTACAGTATTCAACCAGCCTCAATATCACTACATATCACTACATATCCAAGCGCAGCCACAAGCTCGGCTGCAGTGTGTCTCCAAGTGTCTGACGCCTACAATGTGGCCCATTCTAAGACGTGCACATGTGGTCGAACAGTTGGTGGGATGATTCTCAATTCACTTCCTTCTTCGCCTCCAAGCGCCGATCGTCCAGGTCAGCAGCACGATCGACGGCCATCTCCGCTGCACGATGGGCCTCGTATCCGTGTGTCAAACGGTCCCAGGTGAGGCGTGACACTAGGTTTCTTTCAAAACTGTGATTGCGAGATACACTACAAGTTTGTTCCAATCTGTTCAGTGACTCGTTCTGGAAAGCTGTGATTTGGCTCTTCGGATAAAGAAACAAATGAACAGCTTCCTGACACTTCCTTTATCAAACCACTCTTCAACTCAACGAACCACTCTTTAACTGAGCGAGATCCCCAAGCTATACTTAAGGGTCTGATGGGCATGTCATCTAACTTCAGCTGGCTGTCCAACTATGGATCCCCATGGAACCCTTAATGGATTTGTTGCACTTAATGCATCTAGATGCACATGTCAAATGCACCTCTACTGTTTTTGCTATTACGTCAACCGTGTAAATTGAATCTGGTGCGGCTTAGTTGCCTACCATCTGCCAGCCACGTTCTTTCACTCAGAGAGAACCTGGCCTTCTCAAAGATATTCTGCAAGAACTCCTGTTCTTCCTCTGATTTGTCCTATACAGCGGCACGGCTGCACGAAACAGGCACAGGGAGTAATTGTTATGTTTCCGGACTCAACTGAATAAGTTGTGTTTCCTGGCAACAAACGAAACCAAACCTTAACACACACTGGTGCACTTTGCAACGTCGACATCGGAATGAAACATGTCGCAGGTGTCAGCCTATGGGGTGTCCTGGATTTTGCGGGACAAAACCACCTCCAACTATTAAACAACAAGCTACTAGGAACAAGTGCATCGCTACTAGTAACAAGTGCCTTACTAGTAGTAACAAGAAGCTAGTAGAAACAAGTCCCCATCTGCCAGGATCACCATCGATTCCTTGCCAATCAAGGCTATGTCTGTGTGTACCTATCTATGTTGGAGGCAGATCGCTTGCCGCACCTCGACATCCTCCCCCCCTGCAAGGGCCACCAACTTTGCTACCTAGCCAGCCAAAAAAAGGAAAAGGAGGCTTCAAGCGTCAAGTGATATTGAGTGGTAGCTCATTTCAGGGTGAGACACTTTTGCACATAACTGTGTTGCAGTCAAATTGCTAACTTAACTAGTGCACACAATTTGACCCCTTTTGACTCATCTAGTTGAGCATCCGCAGCCGTGGGTGCCTAAATGATGCTTTGCAGTATCAACTCGCTCTACTCTCGACGTGCAGAATGTGAACTGCAGAGAGAGAGAGAGAGAGTGACATACCAAGCTGATCGATTGAACTCTCAAGCGCCATTTGCAGGAACTTCTTTCCCTGATGCAATGACCATTCAGCAACCCCCTCATACCAAGAAAAGCTGATGCCAACATGGGCTTGTTGAGGCAATCACTCCGGCTTCTGCCAGCAACTTCAATGCATTCACTTCAATTCTGCCTCAGCAAAGGACTGAACTCATCTTTTGAGTATCGTGCGAACGCACTAATATGAGATATATAGCTTTTGCGTACACAAACTCTACCAAAGTTGACCACATACCAACTCCGTTACGGATATGGTAGCACATATATATCATATACAGTACATATATACACGCATGCATGCATACCTACAAATCTGTCGAAAAGACCTGCATAGATTGCCTCAGCACAGTAGGTTGGCTAGAACCCCGAAAATGTGGAACAGGTCTGTGCAAAATTTAATGCAAAATAAGATACTGCTCAATTGTTTGGTGCAAGGTTGGACAGTTGCAACTTGGAGCTTTGCGATGGTGTGCAGCTGCATGTTGCCGAAGAAACTCTGGAGGCTGCTTCAAAGCCTATATTATGCTCATCTCTTTAGTTGTATAACTCAGAGCCGGGGTAACATACCCCAACTCACAATGATGAGTGAATCAACAACACCTGAGCCCCTGACGAGTGGCCCATCCTGCCAAAGAACAATGAAGACGGAAGCGGCAAAAGGGGCTGAAGGGCAGACTGGAAGACATAAAGATAAACAATAAGAGTATCGAAATCAATTGAGGTCCTTTCCGAGATCGCTTCACCAACTGGTAAGCCTTCTCTGCCGCGGTTGCGGCTGCCTCCCACGACGGATCTCCGAGATAAGAAGCCGCAAGAATTCAAAACAACATGAGAAATTTAACACGACTTCTATATAACAAGCGACTTCAAGACAGCAAGTAGGTAACTTCAACCTATTGTAAACCAGCACCCGCCCTGGTGAGCAAGCCGGAACCAAGCCACCGCCTCTGCATCACCACCTTCTTCGAGCATTTGCACCTTGGCACCCAAACAGTCCCAACAAGAACAGTATTCGGGTGTATGAAGGTCGGCTCTGTTCGGTTACCTAGATCAGGCAACCATGAGCAAGCTATAGAATAAAGGACAAAGTCTCTTGCTACGAGAAACTCACAACCTGGAAAAATAAAATAAACAAACATTATTGGGTTTGCCCTACGAGGGTTCAGGTATTTGTGGTATGGAAAGTGATGACGCACAGCGTCAGAAAATAAGTGTTGAGATTGCTACAGTGTGGGTTTAAAGCCCTGAAGAATCAAAAGAATGGGAGGGTACTAGATACTGGATACTACAGTAATTCTAAGAGGTTCACAAATCTTGTAGCATTTGGGCCGTCCTTCCGCTCCTCTTGAGGTTCAAGCTCTGGCAAGAATGGAGAACGCGTCATATTGGCCCTTTGGATCCTGGACAAACAGGATGCTAAAATTCAACTCCAACAAGTCCTTTTTCGGGAAAAATATAAACATCTAAACAGAGCTTCTCTTTTGTCCATCTAATTTCCACGCTATATACAGTCTAGAGTTTATAGTGTGTTATTGTATAGCCATTATTACGTATAAAAGACTGTAACTTTCACATTGTCATTGCCTTCGGGTGAAGCAGCTCCTCAATGCTCTTGAAGAGTTGCAAGGCCTCCTCTGCAGTCTGTGCACCACGTCGAACCTTACTGCGAAACACGTCCGGCCATGTCCTCAGCCACAGCCTGGTTCGGCTAAAAGTTGATCTGATGTGCATGGCGGCTTGGTATGTAATGGAAAGGAAAGGCACTTTGAAAAGTGTGCCAAGCCGCCATTCTTTACACCTTTTTTTGCTCTTCTAAATGCTGCACCGAACAAGCACAGCTCCACCGAATCAACGGGTCTCACTGGTCTTTCACCAAGTGGCATCTCCAAAGCCAGCATGCACCTGACACCATCGGCTGATTCGGGGGGAACAGTTTCCAGTGAAGTCCAACAGCTTCCACAGCAAGTGCCAACAGTGCTGGAAAGATCTTGACAGATCCACACCTCAGCGTTTTTGCTCCTCCTAGTAGCGTCCTTGCTCCTAGTACGATGCCCTTTGCTCCTAGTAACAGTAGCGTTCTTGTTACTCCCGTTTCCAATCACATCGGGAAATGTGGGAGCGAATTGGGCACCCTTCGTCGTGTGCGAATTGGACAAAATTTGGAGGGCTCCACTGACGTCATCAGCGACTTCCCGGAGGGTCTTCGACTTCCCCCAGATCGACCACCTCCCATCACTTCGGCCTCGCACCTTCGGAGGTTCGCTGTGTGAAGAAATCTTCACTATCCCGGCAAGAGACCCCAAACAGTGTGTGCGTGAGGTCTGTAAGCAGAAAGTCTAGAGATCTAGACGCATTGGGGTCCAGGGAGGTGATGGTGGTGATGAAGTGAAGGTGGGTGTGAGTGAGTGTGGGTGAGAGGGAGTGTGAGTGTGAGAGAGAGAGAGTGTGAGTGAGTGTGAGTGCGAGTGCGAGTGAGGGTGGGAGAGTGAGTGCGAGTGTGAGTGAGAGTGAGCGTGGGAGTGTGAGGGAGTGTGAGTGTGAGTGAAAGTGGGAGGGTGAGAGTCGGAGAGTGAGAGTGAGAGCACAAAGTACTGCGCCTGCCACGAAATTTGCACTTCGAGGTTTACCAAGCGCTGTGCCTGCCGCGAAATCTGCACTTCGAGGTTCACCATGCGCTGCGCCTGCCACGAAATCTGCACTTCGAGGTTCACCAAGTGCTGCGCCTGCCACGAAATCTGCACTTCGAGGTTCACCAAGTGCTGTGCCTGTCACGATATCTGCACTTCGAGGCTCACCAAGCGCTGCACCAATCTGCACTTCAAGGTTCACCAAGCGCTGTGCCTGCCACGAAATCTGCACTTCTAGCGCCTGCCGCGAAATCTGCACGTCGAGGTTCACCAAGTGCTGCGCCTGCCACAAAATCTGCACTTCGAGGTTCACAAAGTGCTGTACCTGTCACGAAATCTGCACTTCGAGGTTCACAAAGTGCTGCACCTGCCACGAAACCTGCACATCGAGAGTCACAGAGTGCTGTGCCTCCCACGAAATCTGCAAACGAGCCACATGTCCAAAAGTCACGAGTCACTGCACCTGTCACGAAATCTGACCTCCTCGACGATCACCACCATGTCCAAAGTGCTGCACCTGCCACGAAAACTGCATTTCGAAGTAAAACAGCTCCGATTCCTTGCACCTGTCATCCGAAAAGTCGACTTTGGAGCACCGAAACACGAGGTTTCCCTTGCGCCTGCCACGAAAAGTGACCACCACGTGCGAAAATGTGCACGGCACCACAACGAGAGTGCAGTCGTCAGAAGCACCCGCCGCGGACACCCAGATTCAGCGAGCCTGCGCAGTCGAAATGCACATTGATGATGTCGAGAAGCATGAATGTACTGTAAATAGCAGCGAATTAGCCGTTCACGGCCGCGCGCTTCAGCGATCTAAGCATCAGCTGCTTTTCACCTACCGCAAGAACCCCTCAGTGTGCCCACACTGTTTGGGGAAAAAAACACCACGACGCGGACGGCGGAAGGGGCTCATCCAAAACTTCAAAGTCCCATTTCGGAGAGGGCACTGACATTACGAACTTTGGATGGCACTGACATACTGCTCGGAGCTTGGATATGCCAGGTGATGCCAGGTTTTTCTTTTGGTTCAGAGTGTTTGTATTGAATGTGCCCCAGCGAGAATGGCTGGCTTTTCAAACTGAGGAAAGTCGCAGTGAAGAAAAATATCTGCACAATGTTTAGACTGGGTACAAGTGACTGGAATCACTAGAATCTTTCCCACCCCCGTGACATCGGCATCTTTGTCCGCTTCGCTTATGTAAATCCCCTGTTCCTTTGATTGAATGCCCTTTGACGTGTTCAAGCAGCGGCCTCTGCCAACAACAGCATGGTTTGTGCTTCTCCAGCTTGGTCTTCGATCTCTTGGAACAAAGCGAGGGCCTGGCTGGCACGAATCAACATGCACATGAAGCACCAAATGTCTTCAATCAGGTCTTGAGTGTACTCATCTTATCAGGTCTTCTTTGATCTCATTCAATCTTACTTATACTTTCTACATCTTTCTACCTTTGCAACAGGAGGTCTTTCAGGAGAAGAGCACAGCGTGACTACTAAAGCTGCTAGCTCTTCGGCACTGACCATTGCTTGGAGGCAGGATTTAAGGAACTCGTTTCAAGCTTGGGGTGATGATGGGCGATGTGCACCTCTTGTCCTCGCGCATCAGCATCCTGCTCATATCCAGCCTCAGATTCGACATCCTGGTCCGCCTTAACTAAATACTATGCTTTTATGAAAGACTAGCGCAGCTTGTCGCACAGCCTGTTGATAAATGCTGCGAAAGGCTTTCAAGAGAGGATCTTGACCTAGATGAAGTAGACCGTGACCAAGTAAATTCTTTTCTTCAAAAGGCCAGCTTCATTATGTATGTATATATATATGCATAGTCATTAATAAAACAGCATTCTGCCCCAGGGAAAAATGGCTAGATTCACTTCCCTGGAGCTTGTGAATGGAGTTGAGAACATGAGGATAACATCCACTGCAGAGTGCCACAACTGGGCTATGTCTGCATCTTAGTGTAGAGCCAAGAAGAACATGCGTGCTGCTTCACGAAGGCATTTGGCCTGTAGACTGGGCATGCAAGCAGTACTCATTGCGAACATAGCATCTCATCTACAGTACATGCTCCACAAGCCAAAAAATGCCTACCAAAGACCCATTTATATACAACTTTACAACATTTTGCAGCTACTTGTGTACCTCCGGAGCGAACACAGTGCGGTCTGTGGCTTACTCAAGGTACCAATGGCCGGCCTCACCCTTCTTGTCGCCTGCATCATAGAAAAGAGCTCGCCTCAAAAAGATTGGCGAAGCACTTCGTTTGCGTTCTGTATCAGCACTTTGTCAGCAATTTGATACCTTATTCAAGCAGGTTGGATCTGGCTGTGGATGATAGAGATAGGCAAAAGACCAAGTTTCAGGCCACTCATCTGCAGTGCCAACAGCATCTCGTGAAGTGACCTTGTCAGCCCCAAGTAGTTGCTGGGACCCGCAGCAGCCAATATGACTTGTGGGAGACAGGCTATCAATGTTAATGGTGAGTCAAATGTTCTTGCTCTGGTAAAGGTGAGGTGTATATATATTCAGAGTCGCTCAATTGCACAGGTCTACAATCAGACTGTAGTATGACCTTTGTCAAAATGGTTGAAAATATCCATGTGAATACACCGACTTGATACTTTTGCCATTGCTGATTTCTGCGTGTAGAGTTGACACGCGTAGAAGCGAAACAAGCTCGTCCTTCACTACGAGCGTGCAACTGGTGCGACCCAGCAGCCTGAATCTGCTCTTTGAGCAGCACTTCCAGCACATCTGCCTCGTGTTGAAATGCTCACTCGTCGGAGTGAGCATCAACCCCTAAGACTGAGACAGCCCAACACAACCTGATGGGCATTTGGGGATTCTTCTGTTCACTGCAGCGCAAAGAAACATACACTGGGCACGCATTATGGACCACGATCCATTTATCTCCAACTAGGTTAATTTCTTTGCAAGCCAAAAACATGCACCGTTTGCACAATTACACCAGTATCGACCCCAAACAACAGTGGCAGTTTTGAGCGGCAACGGGAGACAAAGCAGAATCCCGTCCCAGCCAAAAGAGCCACGGGAGATAAACGGAGAAGAACCGTGGGAGACAAACAGAGACAAACGGAGACTCATCTCAGCCCAGGGGACAAATCAGAATCATCTCAGCCCTGCATCCAGAAGGGCCATGGGTGACAAAGGGAAGCAATCAGAATGATCTCATCCCAGCATCCGGAAATCATCGTGGCCCAGGATTGTTTCTATGCAAGAATTGAGAACCCCTCATGGCAAAGGGGGAAAAGCAAGCAGCAAGTGCATATGCCTGGCGGCGGATCATCACCAATCACCCGTTTTTTTTTCATGATTCTACCCATATATCCCATAATGGGATGTTTGCTGTCTACACAAGTGTTTACGCTGTCTGCATGGAGTCGGTCGCCTCACCACGCCAGTGCTGGAGGTCTCGGAAGATCAACTGGGCCTCGTTTAGATGTTGCTCACAGTCCTCAGGAGTCAAAGGGGAAGTGGAATCTAAATCACCTAGGCATGGTCGTGACTTCAACACTATGACCTCAGTGTCGATTTGTTTTTTTCATAGTTGTCATAGTTGTTACATGTTGTTATTGTAGTGATGCCCTTTGTTCCTAGTAGCTTCTTGTTCCTAGTAGTAAGGCCAGGAGCTACTAGTAGCATCCTTGCTACTAGTAGCGATGCCCTTTGTTCGTAGTAGCGGGCAGAACAACCTATACAAAGGATCCGAAAGGAGGGCAATAAAAGTTCAAGACCCCCCATTCTGTGTCCTGATCGCACGAGCACCGAAGCGTTTCGTCCCTCTTGAAAGACATGACATGCAAAAGGTTGCTTGGTCCTCAAATCGCATCAGGTCCAGCTCGATGCGGGCAGTCTGGCGACCCACCCAGAACATGCAGCAATGTCGCATAGCTATTGTTGGGTCTTTCGAGGTGTGGGAAAATTGAGAAGA